ACTATATATATATATATATATATATATATATATATATATAGTAATAATCCTATCGGACCCTCCCCCACTCATGTGTGTAAGACCTCAAAAAAACACTACTAAATTTAGCACGAATCCCTAAAAAAAACTATATGCGCCGAACCAATGGGATTGTAGGAAGCTTTTAACGGCGGTGATCTTGTTGGCCTATCTTTCAAAAGATATTCGAAAGAGCCATTGCAATGGTCTGACAGCGTACTACATTTGTATGCTCTCTCTAGAGGAATACAATAGTCTTTCTCTCTAAGCCATTTTCCTCTTCGCACTTCGTCCCTCTCTCTACAAAAGCCATCCTTCGCCCCTCTCTATCTCTCCTCTTCACCCTTCGTTCCCCACGCTCTCTCTCTAAAAACCCATCCTTCAACCCTCTCTCGCTTTACAGATACCCTCTTCTCCTTTTGCCCCTCTCTTTCCTCTCAACAAAAACCCCATCTGCCTTTCTCTACAAAAGCCCTCGTCTTCCTTTACCCATCTTTTTCGCTACAAAAACCTCGATATTCAGCAGCCCCTCTCTCTCTTTATAAAAACCCCAATATTCAGCAGGCATTTTCTTTCTCTCTATAAAAGCCCCAATATTTAGCATCCGCTTTTCTTCCTTCGCCCTCTCTCTCTATAAAAGCCCCAACATTCAACATGCGGGAAGATCTTTAACTTTTTCAACATTGTGGACGAGCCCCAACATTCTCTCTCATTCTTATTGAATGAGTATTTTTTCTACCTATTTCTTCGTCTTTTACTATAAATTCATTGGGTTTTTCATGTAATCTCTTCTATTTGTTTTTCTGGCTATTTCATCATCTCTGACTACCCATTCCTCATAAGATCTGACTGAAAAATTTTGAATCAATACTTTTTGTCATCTGTATGCACTGTGAATTCACTAAAGGAATAAAGGCAAGAGAATTGGATTACTGAAGAAAAAAATATTTGAAAGTTCATACAGGTGTTGGAAAAACAACTGTTAAAAGCTTCCTACAATCCCATTGATTCAGCACATCCCTTAGCATACGCGAGGCAATCCCATTGGTTCAGCACATCCCTTAGCATACACGAGGTTGTGTACGATAGCCTTTTCCTCTATCTATATATATATATATATATGGGCTTGTCTAAAATTAACTAACTCCTCCTCAAAATACAAAGATTCAAGTTATAAGGGGTTGTGATGAATGTACTCATCAAAACAACCATTATTTTTTTATTAAAAAATTATTTAAATATATAACTTTTCACAAAGTACAATCACATTTTAAAAATTAATATCCCAAAATCTTATTTATAAAGTGCTTTTGTTCTTTAATTAAAATTTCAATTTTACCTCTAAAGGAGATAAAAAAATTACTATACCTTGTAATAATATTTACAAATTTGCCTCACAAAAGTATTATTTTTTTAAAAAATAAAAAACAAAATTAATAAATCCCTTCACAACTCTCTCGTAATTTGAAAGGTTGTGAAGTTTAAAATACCCCTATATATATATATATATATATATATATAAGCTACTACTTACTATTAGAGTCTTTATATATAGAATTAAATAGAACCTCTAACC